CGGTCACAGGATTGTTGGCAGACAACTACATGCCTACAGTCCCAAGCTTGCCGTCTTTTGCACGGCGCAGAGTCAAAAATGCTCCTGCAGTGGTGCTGGTGTGCACTGGCAGAGTTAATACTACACATCACAGGGCTAGAGGAACACTAATGGGACCTTGCATAACATTAAATATGGAGAAGCATCAACTAGGCTTTCTTAAGATGACTGCACTTGAGATCAAGATTCAGAGAAAACAGATGCCACTAGGATTTACCTAGGTGTTCACCTAGTGACAGGCAAGTCATGCTATCGCTAACCTTAGCATCACTCACGGGAGAGTAGACATACAGTGAGCACTGAGCACAGATTGGCATCAGCCAGAGCTCTGGCAAATGATTGACCTCGGTGCACTACCTGCAGTGCCAGAGAAAATGGGTTAGGGACTACGGCAGCCGTATAGCTACAAACCCCGACGAAACTTCTAGCTCTAAGGCTAATGATTCCTGCTATGTAAATCCGAGATTCGTTAGTTTTCTGCTTAAATTAGGCACACCGTCTCTCCGGCCCTACTGTCCAGTCATATTTAAAGCCATGGTGGACTGAGCTTGACAATCTCTTGCGACATCTATACAGCACAATTTATTACATTTAAACTGCTAAGTGAACATTACATTATGCTAGCAGTACAAGCTTTCAGCTAAAATAGTAATAGACAAGACTTGCTACTATGAGCGTTGCAGCACACAGGCTAGTAACAAACAGACTTCTCAATCAGAAAGCTGGAATAACTGTTTCTATAACTAACCCAGCCAGAAACAGTTCTTCACACCCAAGGGCTCTCTTTAATACCACCTGCAGGTGATTGATGCACTTAATTCCAAGCAAAACAGTGTCATGAAATGTGCCCTACACCATTATTACAGCCACTAAAGGATTAAAAAAATCAAAGGTAACAAAAATCCTACTCTATAACAGAGCAAGTGCCCACCCAAAACTTGGGGATAACAGGGAGATTCTGAACATGGTTTCCTTGGGTCAAAAAAAAACAAGTCACCTCTGCCAAACTCACATTCTGGGTTGGGTTTCATGCACACAGCCGAATTTTCCCCAAACAAATTGGGCAACTCTCGCCAGGCATGAGATGTTGCCAGAGAGCTAAAGCCAAGATGAGTCGTGTTCCAAGCCAAAGAGGCCTTGCGACAATCCCAGATTGGATAAAGAGATGCAGAGAATTTGGAACCGTGGATAAAGAGGTGCGGGGAATTCTGGGAGCAAAACTGTGAGAACTGTGCGATGGCAGCTCCTAAGGAACACAGCCTAGCAGTCGATTTTTGGCACAGAACATTGCATTTTCTTGGGAGGTGCATGCCTTAAACAGTTTTGAAGACTTATCAAGATGGCCGACAGTTGCCAGCAAACTGCTGCTCGCAACAGGCACAAAGTTATCGGCACCAGCAGCAAGTATCGGATGGCTAGTTCGGAGACAAGAGCAGTGTGTCAAAACAAGTGGACACGACAGCTGTCGTCACGTCTTCATGTGCAAGCCGATGCAATACAATTTCTCAACTTCTTTTTTTTTTCTTTTTTTAGCAACAAATGTTGCAACTATTTTTGGAAACACTATAAACCCTTCACCCTTTCTACTTAGCCGGACAAGGACAAGCTTCTTCCGCAAAGCCCTCCACCCCTTGTACTTAACAGATCGAACGCTAGAGAGGAAAGAGGCAAGTCCCTCCTTGCCTCGTTCGTCTCTTTGGTGTTCACTCTGCTAAGCAGAAAGGGTGGAGGGCTTTGCAGGAATAATTCATACTGTTCTTGTCCCGCAACAGGGTGTAGTCTGAAACTCCCTGGCATAATCTGCACCAACGTTTGCCATGTCTCATAAGAAGCTTTAAATTGGGCATGCTATTCTAAAAGTCCCCAACTGGGATAAACTAGGGAATGGGTGCCTGTTAGGTTTGAGTGGCGATGCAGAAGGGTCACACATGGTAGGGTGGGCACTTGCTTGGTTTGACCAAAAAATTCAAGATGGCAGCAGTTTTATGCGTTCTGCAATCAGTAAGCAGAACGCCTGTGGAATAATCTACCTCAATTTCTCGTTTCCGCTAAAGCCCCAACTGCGACTAGCACTACAAAAGGTATTGGCTACCCTCTGTGAGGTGTCCATCGTGTCGTTTTAAACTTGAGCATTTTTTAAACATTTCGTAAATAGGGGTGACCACTAATTGAGCTGTGGACATATGCTCTACAAAGAAACTAAAGTGCTAATTTGAACCTTTGCTTTAGCCAGAAACGCTTACATTGTGGCCTAATGCAACACTCAATCACATGAGCATGCGTTTTTGTTTGTAGCTTTCTATTGTCAACGTTTCTTACACTTGCAGAGCAAGCAAAGGCTGGTCAATCCCCACCAGTGAGTGGTACACAGAGAAAGTAAAGAATATGAGCTCTTGTCTCTAGAAGCAACTTTCATCACACAAGCTAATGCATCCCGAGATAGCCCACTTAAAACAAAGAGAAAATTGGGCGAAATTATCGGGAAGGGTTAACTTCCGTAGGGTGACAAATGAAAGTTGGTGTTGTAGCCAGACCGGGAATGTAAGGTATTCCAAGAAATCTGGAAATTGGTTTCTTTAACGTCTATTCACACAACTCGTCATACAAGCTACCTGAAATGCAAAAGTTGGTTTACAGTCGCTAACAGACTTCAAATGCCAAAATTTTGAGAAATGCTCGATTACTTGCACGTTTTTGTGACAGTGTCACTCGCCCCATAGAGTAATGCAAAACGTGTCCTCCCAATTTACAGTTTTTTTTTTTTCCCCCTGCAAAAATGAATTATGCAGCACCGAACGCTCATTATCCGCCCAAATGTAGCACGAGCAATCCGAATCTGAAGCCAAGGTCTCAGAACCACTATATACACCAACACGCGGTCTTGACGTTACGGCGCTGTTGGTAGGGTGCATGCATAGACGCATCTCATCACGTGAATCTGGTTCTTGTGCATGCGCAGTGCCCACACCTCGTGTGGGCTTGTTTGCAAAACAGCATTCTGGCACATTAATAAAAGGTTACGCGAATTTCAGGATTTTTTTTTTTTTTTTATGGGAAATTGGCGGCTGACGGAGCCAGTTACAAAAAACAGGCCCTATTTTCCCATTGAAATTTTCAGAAAATCATCTGTAACTTTTGAATGAGACAACAGTTAGTCCCGACACTTTTACACCTGGTTCGGACTGCTGGTGCTACATTCGAACAGAGGTGGCGATATGTAATTAAATTTTGTGGTGAAAAAAAAAACCGTGCAGATCTTTTGGGGGGGAAATCCTGTATTATAGCGAACAGTATCAAAAGGAATGCCAGAGTGAATGACTTTCGATACACACTGCGCTAAGTCTAGACTAACAAAATTGTGTAGCGGAGAGGGGGCCGACAGTGTGGGCCTACTCCGACGTGCACACCGTCACAACCTCCTCTCCACTATGCTGTTTTATCAGCCTCGAGGTGGCACGGCATGTATGTGGAGAATAAGTAGACTGCTTCTTGCGCAGGAGCTGCGGTGACGTCAAAAGGACTCCAAGCTCCGATTGGCTTTGATTGAAAACATAGTGGGTAGACATCAATGCGAGATGCCTTGAGATCTACCCACTATTTTTTCCATCAGCCATTAAGAGCTTGGTGTTCCGACATCACCGCAACCCTTGTGCAAGAAGCAGGCGAACTTGAGCTCCGCCTAGGCCACGTGCCCCGGCGTTCCCACTCCTACTTACTATAGTGCGCAACAGCGACCAAAATTTGAGACCTTGTTCTTGTTTCTCTCGGCTGGCGCCGCTGTGAATCGAGTCGCCACCATTTTGCCTTTGCCTTGTAGCCGCGATACTACATCCCACGTCCTACACAAAGTTTGATTAAGGCTACAGTGGGATCTTTTGGCTTTGTTATAGGCACCATGACTGCCATTCATCCCCACGACAATAACGGCGCAGCTGCTTCTTTCAATGCTCTTTGGTGTCTTCTGCCAAATGCCTACACTCCGATTCTCTTCAAGTGCGAGCACACCAAAATTTATAAAAACAAGCTCTGGACTTTTAGCATCCCTGCCAGGCATACACACAGTTACGGTGCCAGCATCGTTCGGGGCAACAAGCTCATGCTTGTAGCTTAAGCATTGCTCGCACATATATATATAAAAACAAAAACTAGGTATATTAGCAGTGAAATGATTTTGGTCAACTGAATGTTATCACAAGCTGTTCTAAATGACACCAACAAAGATCCCTACAAATGCAGCAAGACGACGGTGGTTAAAAAAAAGCTGCCCCATGACTGCCAAGGTCAACTGAGTGGTGCAATTCCTAGGAGTGGGCAGTCTTAGCGTTTTTGCATGAAGAGGAAATCGTGCCCAAGATCGGGATGGGCTATCTTATAAGGATATTAGGATAGCTTATTTCTGCCCGCTGCCTGTGACAGAATTTATCTTATTTATCACTGACTTTTCTAGCAACATTACTAATCCCAGCCTTGTCACAGCACCTTATGGGCCACAGCAGGCTCTTGCACAGATTAACTAAGCCATGTCTGGCACATGCTTGGTCTCCATAGCAGTCACTGACATAAATCAGATTGAGCACCTTGGTACATTGTTTCTGCATGAATGTGGCCACTGTTGACAGTGTTTAAGTAAGTACATTGACCAATATCAGACTTCCACAGCAATACTACACAAAGTTTGATTGCCATGTTACCTCATTTATCTAATACCATAGTCTTCCTACAGATCAAGTAAAACATTACCAGTTACTAAGAGAAGTGCTAAAGGTAATGCAATTAACAGGGGTCACCACTAAGAAACGTGAACAGTGCAATGGGCCAGTTGATGAGTAGTTCAGTGCTACTTAGCAACATTTAAAATGCAGTCTGCATAGCGTATTGCTAAATGCAGTATCGCTCACGTGCTTGGGAGCTGGTTCCACTGCCAAACGCTTAGAACCTGGGAAATCAGACTGCGCAGCAACTATGAGTTTCACTCGACACGTTTTATTTCCACTGATCCGTCCGGATCGCTCAGAGTACACAGACACAGGCAGCGCGTACAACGCACCGAGTTAAAGACATGGAAGGGGTCTCGCTAACACCACGTAAATTAAAGAAACAGGGCACTACATATATATAAAAAGATGCTTTCGGGTACAGGTCAATGCTGTCCTTTCTCAAAACACTAAGAGAAAAAAAAAAAAATGTACAAGAGAGTGGGAAACAAATGGACGATGCTTAGAAATGTGTGTCCTTTGAGAAACAAGCCTTGTTTGCACTTCTTCCGATCAAGGCGTTTCCGAAGAGAGATGGGTATCGTGAAGAGTGGGGTGGTAGGGGAATGCCGGATGTGCTTTTTTCGTCTCCCAAAACACTGCCGCTCTCTGCTTTTTGCCTTTTTTTTTCTTTTCTAGGAGACCAAAGAGAGAGGAAGGGGCCTTGTTTCTCTCTCCTAATAGCGGCCTGCCCCACCATAGCTATCCCGAGATTGGTTGTACGAAGCGCCACCATAGCTGTCATACGACGCATAGCGATCGTCTGAACGGGGCGGGCCACCTGCAAGTAATGACAGACACCGACATTTGTTACAACGACCCGGTCGCATCGGGGGGCTTCACAGCGGTCAATCTGGTTCAGCCTGCCTCCTCGCCGCCTTTGCGACAAAGTGAGCGGCGAGCGACGGCCACTACGTTGCCCAGACCTCGCGGTCTTTTTCGGCGCATGTGGAGGAGCTGTCGCTAGGCAACATCCACCGCCACAATAAACAAACAAGCAGATAGCGTTCTGTCTTATGTGGTAACACGGGTTAACGCTCAATGTCTTATCAGTGGTGTCTCTTTGCAAAAACCCCCGTACCGAAGCAATGTACTTTTAAGAAGACTGCTAGAGAGCCTTGATACTGTTGCCACTAGAGACATGGTTATCGGTAAGGAGATATACTATATAAAAAAGATTTTTTTCCTTTTATCAAGTGGCGTTGCTTTAAAGGAAGTACTATCTGCTATCATGGGCTGTTTTGCTCAGAGGTTCTGGCAACCGCCCCCTACGGTACCATCGTTACTGGTACAATAAGTAGCATTGCCGAGACTAAGGTGACAAAGGCACTCACTCGACGCCATGTTTGCATTGTAGAGATGGCAGAGGCAATCCCTTATTTGTCGGGACAATGTACCCCAAAAATGAAACGCCTAGAGATGGGATTATTAGTTCCGCCAAAGAGTTTCGAGAGTTCTACAGCTATTGATCGAGCATATGTAATGCAAGAATGTACTATTTTCTCATAGACCTCTGCAAGTTCCAAGTTTAATTCTACACTCACTTCATCCACAAAGGTCCAGAAAAAAAGCAGCAGCCATAATCAGGCCTTCATGCTAACTGCACTTTAACTAATTCAAGCACTAGTCAGCCAACTTTTATAGCAAGCCTCGTGATTAAAACTGCATTGTGTGAATTGGAACTATACCCTGTTGCAGATTAAGAAAAGCAGGACAAGCTGCTCCCCGCAAAGGCCTATATTCATTCTATTTGGCAAAAAAATGCTGGAGAGAAGGCAAGTCCAATAGACCTTTTTTGAAGTTTCAAAATAATGCACAGATTATGTGTGGCAGCCATTATCAAGCACTTGGGCCACGTATTAGAGACGAGGCTTCGTCTGCATTCAGGGTGTACGCGGATCGAAACGCATTCCACACGAGTGCAGAGTCGGTGCTCGGCAAAAACTCTGAACCAATCACAGGCTTCATGTCGGAACCGATAGGCCAACTAACGGCCTGTGCACAATCTATGCATCGTTTCACAATTTCTTCAACGTTCACTCACTAAAATGGTAAGAGTGGAGGGCTTGATGGGAGAAGCTTGCCCCGCTTTTCCTAACCTGCAACAGGGTATAGTGATGTAGTTTTGGACAGGCTATGCTAGATGGTACCTTTCCAACTTTAACTCGGTGATGCGGTTCTAAAGCAAGACATGTTTGGCTTCCTACTTTCTGGAAATGCATTTTATACTTAAATTCTTTGGCTGAACAGAAACAGCCAGGATCTTGCGGAATACATATTTTCTTTTTTCGCATAAACTGGACACAGGTGCGACTTTCGTACTTCCACATATAAACGTCAAATTTAAGCCCTTGTTCCGGTCATGTTGCAGTACCAGGAAGGCTCACGACACAATTGGTGTTGGTACTTCCTTGTCACAGTTTTTGCAATGAGTCTGAACGAGCATCAAGGGGAGAGAAGGGAGCAAGCACTTGATGCTCTCTAGACAACTGCCCTCCATAATGTTATCATTTTCCTCTTCCTTAGAGGCAAAACAGCGGATGTGGATTCAACGGACCGCATTGCAACGTGACAGTATATGTCAGAACGTGGGGGATGCACCTCTGGGCCGCAAGCTCACAGGTGAAGTGTAGCCCTGAGGTAGCTATACGAAGCATTACCTATGTCAACCCACAGAGACGCCGGAACACACTTAATGAGGTGTTTTGTACATTGCTAGGAACAAAACCGACAACATAAAAATTAGCGTGTCAAACAACTTGAGCGTTTTTTTTTTTTTTCCGATGGAGGTGGAGGAGTGCGAGGACGAAGGATCTACCTTGAGGAAACAAATGCGGAAGGGCAACAGACAAGCCAGCAACTCTACAGCATTGCCGCGAAACGTGTTCTCCTGTATACTGCTCATTAAGCCCGAGTGACCTCCCCCAATCCAAATGTACACGCAACACAATTATCATATTTTCCGGTGTACCAGCCAAAGTTCTTTTCCGAAATTTCCAGCAGCGTGTCTTGTACAACGGTGCAGTATAAATGTGGAACATCTAGGTCATATTTTTTACAACAAATGGAGAGCAGTGATTTTAACACACTGTCGCATCGTAACAAGTTCATCCCGTTACGATAATTCACACTCGTTATTATGGTAGCTTCCTGTAGAAGCGATGGCTAGCACACAAACACAAATTTGCTGTAGAGGTTTTTTATTTTTTGCTCAATCCACTAGCTCCAACTTGCACATATACCACAATCACAACATTGCGGTCTCACAGCGCCTACTGTGCTAACTACAACTCGTAAAAGGTGTGACCTATACACCAACTACTTCTGTGAACGCTGCCGTTTATAAGTTCCCCAAAGATGCAACTTATAAACTAGAAAATATGGTACTTTGAAGACTCCAATTCTCTTCAGAATAGACTTCTGCAGATCGCTTCTACCAGCTCCTCTCCACCTCCACGTCTTCAGACAGCCAGACGCAGTCTTGAGAAGGATACCCGTCGAGACCGTAGTGAAAGCAAGCTTACCTCCGCCGTACGCATCCACCGCAGGTCTGGCTCCGAAGCCGTCCGCGGGAGGCACGGAACTGCCATAGCCGCCGTCCTGTCGGCCCCCGCCGTAGCCCCTGTTGTCGTCGTAGCTGCTCGCATAGCCTCCGCCCGCGATGGGAGGGGCGGCGTATCCGCCCACGCTGCTGCTCCTGTAGTCGCCCACTCCTCGGTCCATGGGCTTGGAAAACTCGGAGCTGTATCCGCCGGCAGGCTCCCCATATCCACCCGTGCTGGGGGCCTGGTAGCCGTTGCCCATCATGTCCGGAGGCGCGGAGTAGGGGTCCTGGTATGAGCTCCGACTTGTGGGCGCAGCAGACCCGTAACCGCCGTCGTCGAAGCCGCCCGCAGCGTTTCCAAAGTCTTGGCTGGGAGGGGGCAAGAGGGGGCACCTAAGCCAACCCACAGGGAGGGCAAGCATGGTAGATATAATTGGGCAGGTCTCCAACACAAGAGGCAGAGCCCAAAAACCACATTGCAAGCAGGCTATCAGAGTAAAAGACAAAACAACTATACTCCTAATTTGTGTGCCAGGTTGTCAGGGCTAGTACAGTTTCTGCAGCGCTTGAACGCTACTTGCACAAGCACGTGGCTTTATTCGGTGTCTTCTTTGCATGCACTGAGGAAGCTATGCTATACTTCATTCAGTCGTAAACCAAGACTGCAGTTGAAGGTACTATGTCCTTGTTGGACTAGTCATACACCTCTTTCGCCATGTCATGCTCCTACCCATACCCCCGCGCAGAGCCGTGTCAGGTGATCAGAGGGAGGAGACCGATTGATCCGGCAGGCACGTAGCTGCTACTGTAGTCTCGGGAGTGAACTGAGTGTAGCCCCGGCAGCATAGCACAAAACAGCTCATGCCAAATGTACACAAAGGTACTATCTGTGCATCTTCCCCCGCTTACAGTATTATGAAACAGCAAACTCTCAAGTGGCGCTGATAAACTCGCACAGCTCGGGATTAGTAAATTGATGCTGCCTTCACAAAAAAAAAACAAAAAAAAAACGGCACTTTGCAGCAGTGGAAGCGAGCGGTTTCTCACATGGACTTTTCAATATCACAAAGAAAACACCCATTCATTTACTATAGTTTGTAGCAGGTTAAGACAAGCAAAACAAAGCCCTCCCACAAAGCTCTCTGCTCACTACAATCGGTTGTTTCCTCCTCTCCACTCATCACACATCTGGCCTTTGCTCTGCTAAATCAAAAAGAACAGAGGGCTTTGCGGAAGGAGCTCGACCCACTTTTCAGGCTTGCAACGAACTGTAGCCCACGAAAGCAACTATGGTTACAGACAGGACAAGAACGGCAGGACGCCTCTTTTAAAGGTCCGAACGCTGGAGGCCCAAGAGACATCGAAGCACCACTGAAGCCGAAAAGCCCACGCTGGATGCGAGACAAACGAAGGACCACCCTGCCGTTCTCGTCTTGTCACCCACTACAACGCCCATACAATATCACTAGGGTTCAGAGTCTTCGGAGTTAATTCATTCACCCCCCCCTCCCAAATTCATTTTTTTTTCGGTGCCAATTACTAGTGTCGGACAAAAAACCAAGGTACAAAGGGACTAGTATTGAAGAAAATAGGCCAGGGGCACGGGACCTTCAGGGAACATATGCGTGACCTAAATACTTGAAAAACGTCCTTGTACCGATAACAAAAAAGCAATGAGACAAGATCTGCAGTTCTGAAGCTAGAAAAAAAAAATCTTTGTTGACACTATATTGGCAACTGTGTTTCAGGTCGCTGCAAAATAGAGCCGCAGGGACAAACATTCTTACCCGTAAAAATCTTTTTCCCTTTAGAGGATGGTTTTAACTTGGGGGTTTTTCGGTTTTCCCTTATTTTGATCAAACTGCCTAGGGGGTTAATGGGGTATCACCGAAAACACGGAACCTCAAAGACTGAAGAAAGGGGCCCACCTGCCGTTGTTGTAGTAGGAGTCGGCGTAGGAGGAGGAGGCCGAGGGCCCGTCCCAGCGGCCCCTCTTGGCGGGTGGTCCTCCCACTCCCCCCATGCCTCCCCGGGGCGCCATGCCCCTCGGGGGTCCGTCTCCCCTCAGCGAGGGTCCACCGCGTCCCATCGCGGCCGGGGGTCCGCCCCCACCCATGCCACCCAGGTCCCGGCTCGGGGGGCCCCCGGAGTAGCCACCTGCGGGGTGCAACACCGCTGAGTGCCGCTCGTCGACACCATTGCAACTCTGCACGGACGGCAGATTTGACAGCTGGCCTACGAGTGCCAGTGAGGCAGGTAAAAAGCGGAGGCCTTCCCTTTCGGCAGTTTACAGAGACGAGCGGAGACCACTTTGCCTCCGTAAACGTGTCGGGAGAAGAAATGCGACCGAAAGTGAGATGGTTGGCTGCCAAATGTGCTGTGTAAACTTGATACACTGTGGAGAATCCTCAAAAGTAAACTCGAGCACAGCAGGAGCACTTCGTCAAAACCGCGGGAACTGCCCAATTTTTATGCAATACAGTTTATGTAGACCGTAGAACCTGTCAAGATACTAGTTGCAGTTCAGGCTATGAAGCTTTTGCAGCTTAAAACCTTTACTCATCCTTAGCCAATCATATTTTTACTATGCAAGTCCATTGTTCTCGTCAGACTTGCAGACACGCCAACAAGCAGATTGCAGTATCAGCTCGCTTTCTTCAAATTCGATAGTATGACGTTATGACCTAACAGTAGAAATCAAAGCTGCCTCCTGGTGTGACAAAAAAAAAAAAAAAAATGAGCGCAACTGAACAGAGGTCTCCTTGTTACCATGCAGAAAATAACCCATTTCAAAATAGAAAAAAAAAAGAAGGTCAATTCAATTGGACACTGAAATCCTATTCCCCACAAACAGCTCCTAGCAGATGTAGCCTAGATCAAGCGCAGTACAATCATCTCGTTAATAGAGACCCAGTTAATATAGTAGACGCCCCACTATACAGGGCTTGCGTGGCCAAAAGTGTATCACACTGCATACTTTTGGCCACCATGAAAAAGAGAGAGAGAGGGGAGGGAGGGGGAAGCTGCTTTTGTAGAGACATCTTGAGTGACGGGTTATCTTCTATAATCTTCTGGGGGAAGAATAATGACGTCTAGGAAAATCAAGAGGGTCTTGGTAAGAGGAGAGCTCCTCTGGAGACCATCGGAGCGCTCTATGGATGGTGTTAAGTCAAGCCATGTAAAGAGAAAACATTGTTGGGGACAAACAGTATTTCTTCCCTTACAGACCGAGATGGCCACAGCACAGAGACACGACCGTATTCAGCTACACACCAACTAAGCAAACAGCAGCCTCGAAAAACGACGGGACCACTCACCACCCCTTGGTGCAAAGTCTCCGCGTCCCCTCGAGGAAAAGTCTCCCCGCCCTCGGGGCGTGAAGTCGCCGCGGCCGCGGCCCCTCGGAGTGAAGTCGCCACGGCCCCTCGGCGTGAAGTCCCCGCGGCCCCTTGGGGTGAACTCGCCGCGGCCTCTCGGGGTGAAACCCCCTCGGCCCCCACGGGGTACGAAGTCTCCGCCCCCCCGTCCACGGGGCACAAACTCTCCACCCCCTCGGCCCCTGAGGGCAAAGTCGCCGCCACCCCCACGGCCTCTTGAAGAGAAGTCTCCGTTGCCACGGCCCCGCGAGAAGTCTCCTCGTCCTCGGCCCATGAAGTCTCCACCCCCACGGCCGGGAGGGCCCCCTCCCCTCGGCGGGCCACCTCTGAAGGACCTGTGGGAAACAATCGGAAACCGATACTCAGGCAGCTGCCAAGACGGCCGCATCGCTTGTTCATCAAAGATGAACGCGTATCAAAAATGCACGAAGACGGACCAGTACGGGCTTCAGGACGAGTTTGCCGACAAGCTCGTTAAATCCTTCCCGGAGCACCGTCACTACATCCTGACCCGCTGTGCTGCTCGTCACCAGTGACAAAACGAGCACACTGCGCAACACAGTTGGCAGAAACGCCGACATCAGGCACTTTGTCACATTTTGACAAACGAAGAAGCACCAAATTTGAAAGCTGAGGTTGGGTGCCAGAACGAGCACTTTATGCCAGTGTAGCAATTGTGATAGTATCTCGCAATGTGTCACATTGTAGCTCACAACTGCCGAGGCTATCCAAAATCTATGCCACTCCAGGGCACCCACCGTAAAATACCGGGCAAGCGCCCACTCAAAATTTGAAGATAATCGTGAAAAAATAGGGGATGGGCACATGAGACAACATCAATTTTAGATATATATGTACTGTGCATATTTTTTCAGATGTTTCAAATTTTGGGGATGGGCACTTAGTGCGGAATGGGCGGATGCACGGTATTCTACGGTATGTCATCACTGTTGTCTTCCCCAGTGCCACAGTGACACTCTACTTCACGACACGATTTCATGCAGACGCTTGACAAAGCATACTCGCTCGTTTGCAAAAGAGCAGCCTATTAGGCTATAATTCTAAACCTTTCGAACTGCCTCAATCTCATAATACCGTAAATATATGCTAATGCTTCCAGCAAAATTTCTGACAACTGAAGTTACACGTCACCTCAACGCTTCCAAAACGAGCATGTGCAAAATCGTGGCTTTGCGAGTGTGCACAGCTGGGGCATACTCGTGCAGCCTCCAGCGTCCTGACAGGAAGCTCAGCTTGATGCGCCAGAAATGTAATGTCAACAAAAGTTTTCTTTTACATTTTTTAGTTTCTTCAGCTGTCCAACAATATCAAACCAGCTTTCGAACGCAGTCTTCGAACTTGCACAGTACATCTTAACACAATAAAATGTAATTAAAAAAAAAAACAAAGTTGTTTTGCCACGACTAGCCTGATCAGATTATCAACCTGCATGGTGCATAGTAAGTACCTTCGTTAATTATCACAAAATATGACTCTCCACTAGTCTTCCACTTTCTATTAGTCACAGTAAGCTTCTTCCTATAGGGGGGCTCAAGTAGGACTTGCACACTTAGGGAGTAAAACATTTACTTACCCAAATTTAAAAACGTGAGCTTCAAAGAAATCAACATCTGGAAGAATCTACAACACCACCACAACAGGAATCCTTTTCTTGACATTGTTACAGCTCGAACCACACTGCATGCCTCTAGTATTTTGGGGCGAGGCAGTTTTTACGCGGCAACCGTGCCATGGAAGTCTGAACTCATCCAAATAGGAAGTTCTTAAGACTCGGCATTCATGGTCTGAAATTGTTCACACTAATCAAAGCATAGCTTCTGACATTATTTCCCAACAACGAAACTTCGTAACCAGGTGAAAAGGGGATCACGAACCATGCATTCACTGTTGCAAGGTGTGATCAATTTTACGACATTTGCATGAATCCGTACAAATTTAGGTCGCCATGAGAAGTGCCTACGGTACACAAAACAATAAAAATGCAGGTGCAAATGATAACAGCACACTCTTGCACTATCTTGGGATACAAAACTGCAATACGCACTGAGGAAAAAAAAATGTCACGAGCAGGTTTTTGGCTTTTGCCATGCATGGTTTTATTGCCGAAAGAAAGCAACAATTATGTAGATCCCGCCCGCCACCTGTCTTAAAGGAGCTATGCAACGATTTTAATGTTGAAAGAATCGGCATCTTCTACTTTTGACATTGTTTATCTTGTCACAAAGGGCAGAAAACACACCTTCCTTTGAAATGTTGCGATTCCGCCGCGTAATCGCGAGGCAAAAATGAGAATATTTCCCGACCTGCAGCCGCGCGCGGTGGCCACGAGAATTACGCGGCATATGTCAATGGGGGTCTTATAGAAAGATAGCAAGTTGTGCGAATACCTGCTCAAAAAAAGGCGACTTTTCCATAAATCTTGCCGTTCTAACATAAATATATATGCGTCAAAAACCCGCTATCATCAACAAAACTTTTACTATGGGAGTTTTAAAGGCGCCATCTATCCTAGGTACACAAAACCGTCGGCTCTATCTGCTACCGCGAACAGCTGCCAGACGCCGGAGGGGAACGGGGGCAGAGCCGGACGGGGATGACCGGACCCGGACAGGGATGGCCGAACCCGGATGATTCTTTCCTCCTTTCACCATATTGTTGGTGCTGTGCCAGCACGTGGTCGCGAGCGGATGAGCTCTCGCTGCTAACCGATTGCTCTAGAGAGAGAGGTTCATCGGAACCACGCGCGACCTCCATTGACATCACAGCGCACGTGACTCTGAAAATCTTTGGCCATTTTTAAAATGAAAACTAGGACATGCAGGCAAAAGCGTTTGTTCCTGACTTCAGAAAGGTCGAGACATCAACTCCCAAATTATTTAAGCGCAGCACTGAAATTGTTGCACAGCTCCTTCAAAGGCAGGCATACACTGAGCACATTCCACTTTTGCCCACCTCCTTTCTTCATCTTCTCCACTTTTTACTTTGCCCCAACTTGGCTCCCCTCGCAGCTTAGGAATGGGAGTTGCTAAGAGGATTATCTTCCTTGTGGAAAAACAAGGTTGAACTGATGCTTTAGGTTGCAAGATTAAAAGAGCTCTTTGAAAGCAAAAAGAGGCGGCTGAAAGACAGCTAGTTTGATGTCAACTTGTCTCCAAGGGTGCCGTTTACAGATTTTCTAGGAACATTTTACTACCCACTGGTGGTGGGTAGCGACTTGTCATCCAGATGCTAAAACTGAACCGAAATTCCTGCACGACTGTTGCCCTTCGAATAGGTTTGAAATGTCACCGCAACACATTCACGAGTTCTTAGGCATAATGAAAAACAATTAGCCATTTAGGGTTCAGAATCATTTCACTAAGGTGTCGCAACACCTAAACACTCTTGCCACACGAGCTACACTTTTTTCTTTTTGACGGAGGGTGGTTGAAAATGTTTGGCAGGGCGGTACACGAATCTTAGAAGGTGCTTTTCGTCACCAAGACACTTAGCTGAAAAAATGTCCTGGCAATCTTGAGCTGGACATTCGTTAAGATGTTTAGATTTTACTCCCATCTTTAGTGATATTGCTACACTTTATTCTGAAGACCTTCATAAACATTACATGAAAAATAATTTCTAGAGGTTTTACCTCCCTTAGTGTACAGAAAATGAGTTCATGGATTGATAATTGTAAATAGACCAGGTTATGACAATCAATTTTCATACATTTATAGTGTCGTCTTGTAAATTTTATTAAACAAAGCAATGCTGGATTCATCTGCCTTGCCTGCACACCTGCAGAAAGTGTAGCTCTCAAGCAAGTTCCCTAAAGACTGACTTGCACTTCCTTGCAACTGGCTAGTTTTGATGGAAGGCTTTCACGCCATGTGATAAAACCTTAAAATTCAGCAATAGTGTGCTCAGGTTACAGGCATCATGTGCTTGCTATGGAGACACCGTTCAGTAGTGGTGCTAAAGAGTGGTTGACCTGCTGTCAACAGTTTTGTTTCACCTAAGGTAAACACACAGCAGTGTTCGGAGGCATGCACAAAAAATGGTATAGCAAGATCTTGCTAAAACCGTGCATATAATCAAAGACCTGCCAAGGTGCCACATCAGACCTAACAAAGTACAAAGTCTTACAATAAAGACGTTATCACCACCACCAATACCACTTTTCCCCATTTTCACAAAACCAGAAACATGCAAGTGTTTAATGTATTTAACATGAAGTGGTGTGACCAATAAATTGAGTTGCCTACCTTTGTTTACGGCTGAAAATAGAAGCAAAGAAACAATTGATGTTAAGTTTCAGTTCCGAAGAGTGCTGAAAACCCGTATGTGCATTAGGTAAAACGTTATGTGGGAAACAGTAAGCTTGGTTCGCAACTGCCATGATGGCACCGCAGAAACAAAGACTGCAGAACTGTGCAGAAATGCAGTTCTGCACAATTTTTACTTGTCTCACATAAGCAAAATCTGCCTGTTCCGGTCGCTGGCCGTGTTTTAGAGAAACACCGAAGAGAATTCCACTAGGGTGCTCGCTGAACTGCTTGATCTTTAATCAGGGTTCTCAAACCATTCTAACATTTCTTTACAAAGCAAGGCACACGAAAACCAAGACTTCTAAAGCCGAAACAGCACTAGAGAACCAAAGAGGGATATGACTTACCCAGGGGGCCCACCACGGCCTCTCATGGGGCCACCGCGGCCTCTGGAGAAGTCTCCCCTGCCCATGCCCCTGGACATGCCGCCCCTGCCCATGCCGCCGTCCATGTCTGCAGCGATTCTGCAACATGATACACAACTCATCAGAGCTCCGAGAATCAAGTGGAGCCTTCAGCATGACATCGAGTCAACGAAACTGTTATCTGAAAATGAAAAACTGTAATGACTGAACCGCCATAAAAATGCCTCCTTGCCTGTATTTCCCTTTACAAGCAAAATTATTTATATCTCTCGCTGAAGATCATTTCCTTACCCCCAGTATGGAGAAGCCTGCAAGAACTGGTCCAGGTAAACGTCTGTTTCAGTCACTCACAAGCAAAGTTTGAACACCAAGTGGATAGCTCGCAAATAAATTGCCATATGTAGTCAGAAGACGGGCATTTTATATTAACTTTCATTTAGCGCCATGAAAGTAAGGTAAGAAGCACCTTCTTCAAAGCAATGCACAGACTGGCCTTGGCTTCACTACCACAAAAAGGTAACAAAGAACAGGAAGCTGTTGTTATACTTTGTTGGTGCAGCAATCTGTGTGAACAAAAACAGATCGCCAAACAAGTCAACCTATCTGGCCATCGAAATAAACACAACACAAAAACCAGAACACGGAACAAGAGCTACCCTATCGTATGACAGGATAGCACTTGTGTTTATTTTAACGCGCGTAAGCAACTGGTGCACAAGTTTATTGTTTCAGTTACTACTAGAAATTTAAGAATTTATTACGATTAAGAAATATTGTGTGGAATTTTTATTATTTATTACATTATAACATCCCTACATTTAATTAGCTCCCCGGTTGTTTTCTTTCTCCTATCGTTGTTTTTTGTTTTCTTATTTATAGACTATTTTAGAAAGTCGCCTATTCAGGACGTGAACAATGAACTGATTAGGAAGGAGACGGAAAAAGCGTTTTAGAGCGAACGTGGATAAGCCACAATAGGGACAAATGATGATTTCAGGGAGCCCAATCGAGGTCACTGCAGCTCAAATGAGTCAGCCGGATCTTGCTTGTGTTGCCGAGGAAGTGCCCGCGCTCGCTTGAGCACGTGCTGACGTATTTTCATAGCAGAACCTCCTGAACCGGCGACTTTCTAAAATAGGCCATTACACTTTTGAATGGCTTTAGGAGCTGGCACTACTTGACTGTGAGTAGTGCATCTCGCCGCTTACTAAAGAAATCAAGGGGGCAACGATCATGAGCGTTTCCCACACCGAAGAAGCGAATATAGTGGTAGCACGACACTACACGCAGCGCGCGAAGCGTGCTCATAAAAACGCTAGTGAACCCGGAAAGGGTCACGCCACCGAGGCGGTCCAAAACATGCACACTATGCGGCCTTCAGCGGCTCACTTTAGTCTCGGCGTTCGGGCATGATGAATGGCGGCACGAACCACGAGCTATCGACCGCACCACAGGATTCGGGCGTCATTTGGTTGCGCAACGTCACGGATCGAGCGCGTTCGCTAGGCCTACTTTCACAAAGGGCGATTGACAGGTGACCGGCGCGATTTTTGTGCGCAACCACTCAAATAAGCGGTCGCGGACCTGAACTAAGAGCTTTAAGCAACCCTTGCATGTCAAAGAACACTTCTTAGCACACAAAACGTCGCGCATTGGTCAGTTTGAAAGGAAAAGTGAAGTTTCAAAAGCTTTATCCGGCGTTAGGCTTAGTCAACACACCGCGCAAGACGCAGTACCCGATTACGTGTGAAAGAAACATTGTTTTAGAGCCGGCTTAGTGAAATTGTCACGCAAAACTGCTGAGAATATAAGAAATATTAACTTACACGGGTCAGTTCCAATAATACAAGCAGAGTACTTACATTCGAACCGGCTTCACAGGTATCACGAATGAACGAGTGAACCCAAGATGGGAGAGAGAAAATTTAACCAGTTCCCCCTCGGAGAGCTATGGACGTATGCAATGACTGCAACCTTCAATTGGGTGATAGCGTGCGTCACCATACCATGATGTAATAAAAAAACCTTGCGACTTTTGACCTTCGTGGATCAAAAAAAAAAAAAGATGGCTAAGATATATATATATATTTTTTAATTAGCTATTTCTGTGGAAATTTTTGGGTCTAAAAGTTCTAGCACCAACTTCACACATGTATACAGGAGGCAGCTCGCGCCATCTGGGTGGTGTGGTGCTATGGTTGTTTGCATTTTTATTTCTTGTCTTGAGGCTTTTTTTACTATGATCGTTCACCAGGGGCCCTAAGACACTTGGCGAAAAAGTCGGCTAGAAATCTAGCGACTGTGATTGGCCAACGCCGCACTTGACCTTGGCGCCGGCCAATGAGAGCCGCCGGATTTCTCGCCGACTTTCTCGCCAAGTGTCCAGATTAGGGCCCTAAGTCGCCTGCGCAGAAACTCAATTTGCACAAGCCTGCCCGACTCTGGGAATTTTCTTCAGAATGCGTGTATTCATATAAAAAAATATCTAAGTACAAATAGAAACAATTAAAAAATAAAATCTATTTGGGCTGAAAAAGGCGAACTCGCTTGAGTTTTCTTACTTTTATGCCCATTTCAATCGGCGATAAATGGAGAACACAATGAACCTCTTGGAAGCAATGATTTATAATGCAATGCGCTACAAAAAATGTCAAGTAAATCTTTTCCTTCAGTAGCAGCAAAACCAGGATCTCGCATTGAATAACATTGTCGGACAGCTTTGAACAAAGCATGTCCAGAATGGATCAAAATGGAATGCAAATAAAATCTGAAACAACTAGAAGTTAACAGCATAGACGTATCTTACATAAGACAAGCAATAGCCAAACTAATATGTTACATAGGCTTTATTAGAATAGATATCAGGGCCCTTGAAGCAAGGCTATGCTTACTGAACATGCCCTCTTGTATAATGTACCTGATTAGAAAAGCGAGTCCAAGGAGACCTCCAAACATTCACTATGCAGTATAAATGTTATACTGTAATGTATTTAACAAACCATGGAGGCATTTGCCCCCAAGATATGTGGAAAGGTTACGGCTGATGCGGAAAGTCTCTAGTTTGTAACCACTGTATACTTTCTGTACCTGAGCAAAACGAGAAAATAATGCATAGTTGCCCGATCTAATTAACACGCAAAATTAAAGAGATGCTGACTAGTATGAAGGGGTAAACATGGCGTCCCCAGTACCTCCTGGTAAAAGAACAACAACAAAGATATCACAATCTGCACCAACATCACACACAACAGCATCCTCTAGATGCAAAATCCGTCCTCAAACCCTTCGCCGCAATCCCCAACGGTCGCCCGCTCGAAAATGGCTCAAACCCAACCTCAACGTTGGAACTCTGTCCCCTCCAACGTCAATGCATAAAACTAGTTGCCTGCACAGTAAACATCAGAAACAGAACAAACAAAAAAAACAAAAAACGCAGGAAATTCTACCCAACGCACGCATCTGCTAGCTAACAAGGCCCCAGTTCCACTTCTAGCTAGAGCGTCCGTCTCTCGCACAGTCGTCACACCTCACAACCAGTCTCTACTGTTTCGTGCTGGGCACGTTGGAGGAAAATGGCGGAGCATAAGTCTGGAAGCTCCGTACAATGTTGGCGAGCACCTCGGTCCGTGCCGTCAGGTCCGCGTCGAAGAGCGTGTCCACGGCGACCTCGACTTCAACGCCGTCGCCGCTGTGCAGCGACGCACTCTCCTCGGTTGCGTCGTAGACAACGGGCGGCACGGGTAGGAGGCACTCTTCAATGGATGCTCCGCCCTGCCTCACTCGCAGCGCGTTGCGTGCTTCGAACTCCCTCAGGTTGGGCTCGCTGGAGTGCTGGCTCGCCTGCAGGCTCTGGAAGTTGGGGGCGAGGGACTGACGCAACTTGGTCTCTGCCGAACTCACTTGCAGCTGGTCTAGGCCCTCGTCCAGGGAGCTGCTCAGTTTCGGGGAGGTCGCCAGTTCGCCGTCGGTCTCGTGTGATGTGCACGACGGGAAGGAGCCCTCTATGGGGGGCGGCTGGACCGGAGGGGAAAGTACCTGCAGGAGTTTGACACTTCTTTCGTAATTTGAGCTATTAAAAGTGCACGACAAGGTAGGGGTACCGGACGACCACGATACCATTTGATTGGCTCATTGTTTTTGTGTGTTTCTGTGTCTTGAGCTATCAGCGGCATGTGAGAGCTGGCAGCTATACGCCTCGCAAGTGGGCTCATTTTCGTCTTCTGCGCATGAGAAAGGAAGTAGTGGTGACGTCAGAACGCCGAGCCCTGATTGGCTGATCGCGACCCCCTATCTGAGCGTCGTCTGCTCCTTTGCAACGTCGTCTGCGTCTGTCTTACCGTTCCTGCGACTTTACAAGCGAGCTCGACTTCACCTTTCAGAGAGGGCAGACGAAATAGCTCGAGCGGTACGTTGTTTTTGTCTAACAACTAGCAGACGCGCATCAAGGAGGGAAGTCAAAGGTGGCGAGGTGTCTTGAGGCGCCGAGGTTTGTTTGCTAAGAACCGAGAGTGAGCGTGTTAGTGTCCGCAAGTTCCCTCCCGAATACTTTTTCCCTCCTTTCGTGTGCGGCGAGACTCCTCAATTTTTAACGGCGTCGGTGGGTTGGCGCAGTTAACGTTGTCTGCTTTACGTCTGCTAGTCAAAGCGATGGCTGCTTTACCTTTCCTCCGTCTGTCGGAGATTCACCGCTTTTTCATCGGCGAGAGTCACCGTTGCCTCGGGAAATAAGAGGAAGAAATTGACCTCTTAATCTAAAATTGAGGTCAGCGATCAAAGTATAATACGGGAAGGATTCACAACGGTCGCGCGGGCATATTCCATTCAGCACGCCAGCCGGTCGTGGGCAGACGGTCGCCGAGTCGCGGAGTGCCTGCTAGGCCTAACTGCCAAAGCTCGCTTGGTCGCGTTTGGTGGAATCGTGGCCGTTGGAGGTTTTCCCGGGTGTTTGTGGATCCAGTGTTCTTGTTCGTCGTGGTCTGTTTCAAGTACTTTTTACTTTTTTCTTGCTGCTTGAAGTCGGGACGCGTGAGAAGCGCACATAGAAAAATAAACGTCAGTGGGTCGTCGCGACCGCGACGCTGTCGGCCATGCGAGCTTCAGAGCTGTCGCAGGATTTCGTCGTAAACTGCGCAAAACTTACAAAAATTTCGTTTCGTGAATACGAATTCGTTCTTAAGTTCTGTCTTACGCACATTTTTGGCGTAAGGTCGTTTCGTGAATCTGGCCTTCCGAAAGTCGCAGGAACGGTAAGACAGACGCAGACGACGTTGCGAGCAGACGACGTTGCAAAGGAACAGACGACGCTCAGATAGGGGGTCGCGATCAGCCAATCAGGGCTCGGCGCTCTGACGTCACCACTACCCCCTGCGCAAGAAGCAGACGAACTTGCCCTCCGCATTGCCCCGTCATTGCTCAACACGGTGACATCTCTGATGTGTCTGTATTTGAGGTATGTAAATGCAGAAAGGGTTGGCTCTTCCACTCTTTGCTTCAGTCGTGCAATAGGCCAACGGATGTGATGCTCTATGCTCAAGCTAAGTGAAGGATTCATCAGAATGATCTACAAGTGCATATAAAATAAGTAAACATTCTTGTTAGTTGTCAAAAGTGGTTGTATACGTAAAAAATTGCAAACGACCACACAAAGTGTGCTGCGATTGACAGCGGCAGCCGCTGCACTGTGGAAAGGCACATTGAAAGAATCCTTCAGCCAGTGTGCTCTACAATGTTTGTAATGGGTTTTTTGCTTTCAGCGCAATTGATGTAGGAGACATGTACGAGGAGATGTGTGCTTTGGTGGAACGATTGCGCGAGATGTTGCATGCATTGGAGGACACAGAGATGTAGTAGCATAGTCAGGGGCAGGGTGTAAGATAGACAGGTGGGGAAACGGCCCATAGAAACCTACCGCAGCGCCGTGACCGGATTGTGTACTCGTCTGCTCGCGGATACCCCCGATTTGCGACAGATGGCGCTGCGGCGAGAAGAAAAAAATTGGAATCGAATTTGTGTGGAACTTTATGGGAGAGTGCGCAAAATAAACCGAGAGCACGACAGTCCTCCATTGAAAATCCACGAGAAACCATCTCCGTCAGTTTAGCCGGTCGCCACCGTTCGCCCACCCGGAGTGAGAGTTCGCGGTGCTCCACATAGATGGCGCCACAGAAAAAGAGAAAACCGAGGGGGACACAATTTGGTCGCTCATTTGTCTCTCATTTCCCCACCTGTCTATCTTACACCCTGGTCAGGGGGGAGCTTACTGGGCTTCAGCACCCCCCCCCCCCCACCCCTAAAATCCAGCCGACCCCATAATACTTTATACACATGCATTTTGAGCCCTCTTCTTCCCCTCCACACCCCAAGTGATGGACATCCCAACCACCTCAGCCATCCTCCCAAAAAACATTTCTGGCTACGCCACTGCAGAGACATGGTTTCTTTTTTGTTGATAGGCTCTTTTGGAATGGGGGCACCCGTGACCAAGCCTGTGGTGGAAGAAGCGAAAGTATGTGAGTGAGCTGTTCTGTACAGGTGCTCCCGCATCTCTACAGTACAGCTCGCGTGCATAATTTGGGTGGCGGCAAAGGGGAGGCGAGGGAGCGTGTCCATACAGTGTGACTAGGTGGGTATTTCGCAATGGCGGCTGGCGGAGAGGTTGTGGGGAGAAAGGGAGAGCGTTATCCCCGTAATCACCTGGGTTATTCGGAACAGCAGCGGCCTAGAGGGGGGAAGGGGGGCAGAGCGAGAAGCCTTGCCATGTGTGAGGAACGATGGGGAGAGAGGGAGAGAGAAGTGCCTCTACTGTAGAGTGGGGCTTTGCTTTCATACATGCACATTTTTTTCCGGGAAGAAACACTAACAGCTACAGCTGTGAAAAAAAAAAAAGTATCTATATTATAAAGGAAACTATTAGTTGTAAACCAGCAAATTTTCCAAAGCAAATCTCACTTTGAGTACTATATGCAATCTTTTCATATTTATAAAAACAAAACTTTAAAAAATGTTCATGCACATATAAGCAGATAATTGTTTTACTGAACGGGTTTATACAGGATGTTCGCACCACTTCCGGCCACCATGAGGGGGGGAGGTACTTTTGGTTCACCTATGTTTACCTCATGTTTGGGTGGGCGCACCACGGCTCTTTGTTCACTAGCAAGCAATTGCGCAAGAGCTACGCTTTAAAAGTACCCCAGTCTCATGCATTGAAGTTGCCGATACACATGGCACAAACAAAATGTCACAAGTGAAGTCCTTTCGATTATCTCTAGACGAGGGACGCCACTGACGCTGAAGAGCTTTGGTGATCACAACTAACAAGACGGTACTCACCTACAACGATGTGCTGCCGACAGACTGCGCAACGCGACAAATGCGAGGATGCAGCGACCTCATCCTCGTGTTTGTCGCGTTGCGCCATCTGTCGCCAGCACATCGAAGTAGGTGGGCACCGTCCATCATCGTACAACGGCAGGTGCCAGCCAGACCATTACAGCACGTATAAATGCAAGCTGACGCGGTGCTCTGGGAAAGAAACCTAGAATACAAAAGCAAGCTATTCATGTTGCGCTGAAGGAAGCGTAACAAAAATTGTGGAGCCCTTCCACTTCACGTGAAGATGGAGGACCAGCGAAGCTGCTATTTTTACGACGCCTTGGACGATGCCTACAGGATGACGTCTAGGACGACCTCAAGGACGACTTCTAGGACGACCTCAAGGACGACTTCTAGGACGACCTCAAGGACGACTTCTAGGAAAACCTCAAAGACTTCTAGGACCACCTTGAGGACGACACCTAGGACGACTTCTCGGACGACTTCGAGGACAATGCCTAGAGATGACAACAAGGGATGACGACCTCACTATCTAATGATGACAAAGAAGGCTGACTCATGCTGGTTGCCCCCTCTTTTTCTTTTAGAGCGCAGCTCTTAGGTGCCCGTTTCCGGCTTGAGCGGTGTCGCCGGCGGCGTAACCAAGGTCACCCCAAGGTCACGTGACCCCTCCCAAGGTCACCTCAAGGTCACGTGACCCACAAGGTGACCCCCACGCGACCCCCTCCACAAGGTCACGTGGCCCGCCTCCCCGAGGTCACATGCCCCCCTCCCCGAGGTCACATGCCCCCCTCCCACCCCCCCGAAGTCACGCGACATCCCCCCCCCCCCCCCCGAGGTCACGTGACCCCCTCCCCCCGAGGTCAGGTGACCCACCCGGAGCATATTAAAGAATGAGGGGAGGAGGAGGGGTCTACCCCCCCCCCCTCAATACCCTTCCCTCCTCCTCAAGAGCTGCGCTCCAATTTGGCGTTACAGGGAGTTGTAAACGGCTTTCACTTTTAATTTATTCTTACTTGCCACGACCAATGGGGAATTTTCTGTCAACATCTGCGGACACATTTTTTCCCAGATCCTAGCGCATCACAGCTTCGCTGTAAAACTTGCAGAAGATTGTTAAGTCCAAGGCCCAACTCGGCGACCCCTGCGGGAAAGCTCGGCGCATATCTTCAACTCGTGGGGGGTGTAGGTGTCAATCGCCAATGCTCTCCCGTTCACAAAATAGATGAACGTGGGCTTGTAGGTTCTATGTCGTACTCAGATATGTGGACCAGGTGGCTCAAATAGGTAGTCGACAAGATTCACACCCGATAGCATCGGCAGATTTGTCATTTCTTTGAGGAACAAGTGCTCTCTCTTTTCACCTATTGAATGAGGAAGGCAGTCGATCCCATATAAGTATATTTCAGGAGGTACCACAGTTAGTCCTCGGCAGTGAGACTCTTTAAGTATGCGCTACTCGCCAAGGGTGCCCAAAAACAAGCACGAACAATAGCCAACCGGAAGCAACATACTTCCCCCCTGGAAGTTCGGTCACATATATTTGTTTTGTTTAACTTCACACACCACGTTTATGTGAACAGAAGCTCCAAAGGATATATATGCAGCATTTTCTTATGTGCCCTACACCCAGGTATTTCATCCCTTGTCCTACTTGCCAATAACTACCGTCCCGGAGTTCAGTAACCATGCAAACAGAAAGTAAAATGCCAAAGGAGCAACCTGGCTTAAGCTGAACTTGATGTTCATCATGCTGTATTTCCTCGCACATAAAAAATTTGCTTGATCATGCCGGCGAAGACCAAGAAGTACAGAATCTGTTCCGTGCACCGTACAGGCGCGGGGGACACTAAAACACACCACACTCCGTGTGAATCGTGCTAGTTTTTTTCATTGTGCACCGCAGATGTTAGCCAGGGCGAGACCAAGAGAACGAGCGCGCCGCACGGGTGCTACGTTACATGGCTTTTGCGCGATGTGTGACGTCAATGAGTCGAGTAGTCACACGGTGTGACGTCGTGCCGCTTTTGCCAGTGAGTATAGTACCCACTGCCACCGCACCGACCCAGGTTCAAGCCCCGGTAGGGCTCAAGCTTGTTAAATAGAAGCTTTATATATAATCTTAATGTCATGCAACACTCCTACCACGTCAGTCGTTCATGATATTCATTCATGACGTTTGTTCATGACGTTCGTTAACTGCGCTTGTTCCAGGCATTTGGACATGACACTCGTACACGACGATTTGCTCATAGGAAACGACTCACCAGACAGATTCTGTATTAAAAATAAAGTTAGTTATTTACATTCTCATAGAGAATGTAGATAACTAACTGAAGCAACCCACAGAACAAGCTCAGCAAATGACGAGGAAGAGGTAAAAGCTCTACAAGAAAATGGTCTCTTTACTGCAGGATTGAGCAAGGCAGTTTACATGCTTAGAATCCAACGAAGGTTGAACTTTCAGGAACAAACGTCTCCTCAGCCTCTCCACTCCCCGGATGTAATTGAATGTTGTGCACAGGTTTCAATTTAGAGACTAATTACTATAAAAAAAACTGCAAAAGTCAACATTCTGGTAATTGAAATTTGGTTTCTGCTCTGGTTATGTGTTCGTGCACGATTAAAACAACTAGTATTAAACAAAATTCTGACAAAAAAGAGACCTTTCAGTTTGAGCTCTTTTTCAGACAGTTTGAGCTCTTAATCCTAGCACAGGGACCGTGAATGCCACTGCTATCACTATCTATTCCTTCTTCCAAATGACTTCTCTCTAGCTTGAAAGATTACATTTCTCCGATTCTCACACATAAGGATGATATGCTTTGACTCCCAATTCAGGCATACCTCGTCCGACGATGGCAAGTTGTCTGTAACATCATGGTGGTTGTTGTTCTGGATCGGAACAGGAACGGAATGGCTAGGGGCAGGCAGCAGTGCCGAGCTACTCACTTGGCCGCTACCGCTGCTGTATACCAAAGTTTGCAAACCAAAAGCCAAGGAAAAAAATGGTGTTGTAAAGTCAGTTGTAGACATTTGCCACACTTTGGCGGCACAAAAAGCTGTAAAGAATCGGGTTCATACTTACGCCTTGATGCTGTAGTGCTCGAAAAGTCCGTGCAAGTTATGCAACGTAAACCGCAGGTCCTTTGTGGCAAGGTTGCAGTTGCATCTTAGCTGGAAGTGCAAACCAAATTTAAAGTTATGCAGGCATTTATATTACGTCAGCACCAGTGGCATGCAGAACTCTGCCAGCCGTGGCACTTAGTTGGACTGATATTTATTGAGCAATGTGTTAAGGTCCCGTCGGCTTGGCATTGGCGCAGTGGAACATCAGACTTCCCAACTTAGAGAACAGCTAAATCTTCAAAACCTACATTGAACCAGAGATTGAACTTTGTGGCCAACATTTAGGGGAGTGTGGAATCATTGCCGACACGGCCTCTGTGTACGGTTGTGCACCAAATGTGCGGTCCACTAAGTACACAAATATATTTCTTAAAACGTAACATATTCTTCAGGACAGCATGCACCAGCGGCTGCCACATTCATATCCTGTTCGGACTAGCTTCAAACATTGGTCGTAACCATGGTGTAAGAAAGACTGTTTAGGTGATGACACTGGCCACGCTCTACAACAGGCGCACGCAACCAGATAATGTTCAGAGCTAGCCTCGAACCCGGACCACCCGGACAGCATCGACATAGGGGGCGCTGCAACATGAAGTGCCCAAAACTGCCCAAAACCACAGACTCTCTATTGTGCGTGCGTTGACGATGTAAATGCTGGAACGCTTTCAGTGGGTTTTGTTTTAATTTAGTGGCCTAATAACATTGTACACGAAGCTGGAAATGTGCTTTGTGTGTAGCTTGAGGTACTGACGACGATGGAAGCGAGGAACGGAGCCACAGTAAACAATTCAGAGATACGCAGGTAGTTGCAGCCATGTTGTAAAATGGGCAAGCATTGCTTTGTTCAGAATTGCAATTTGGACTACCGGTCCTGTGTGGAGCCAGTGTCAGATCTTTGGATCCTGCTCGCCTGAAACAGTGGTGTTGTGCAATCCCAAGAGCTGATCGGAGATTGTTGTCTAGTGACCATGTCTGCGCCAAGCATTTTCTCGCCGAGATCTTGTCAGGACTGCATTATGCAGAGTTGGATAGTAAAGTTCTTCTGGGTGCCCCAAAGAAGCCCGTGCTGTCAGTGGACGCTATACCCAGCATTTTTCCGGGATGCCCGAAGTATTTAACGCGGCACGAAAAGCCCAGAAAACCACCTCGAAAAAGAGTACCTGTCCCGACGGATGTTTGTAAACGTCATCCTAAGCCATCTGCCACTTAAGTGTCCATGGAGTCCATCCAGGCTTCCTCAACTAGTGCCGTATCGTCAGCGGTAGTGGTATATCCTCAACACCGTGATCCTGAACATGATGATCCACAAGCAGCAGTGGGATCGTGTAAGAGGGCACGCCTTGATCCCGGCAGCATTGCATCACCCATGCTGTATCCAGAACATGATCCACAAGCAGCAGCAGGGTCATGTAAGAGACGTCTTTATCTTAGCTGCATTGCATCATCGTTACGATAGGTAAGAGAGGAACACCACACGCTTTCACTTTCTCTCTTCTAGTAGAGGAACAGTCTCTAAACTAAAGCACTCTGTTCTTTTACCAAGCAGGTTGACCGCTCGACTCGTGGTTCCCTGGAACAACAAGATTGTTCGGGAGCGCCGCATCACACTCTTCCGACTGACAGGCAGCCTCCTGCTCCGACTGGTTGCGGACAGGTAAGAGAAAAAAAGTGCACATTTTCATTTTCTCTCTTCTAATAATGGAACCATCTTTTAACTTCAAGCGCTCCGTTCTTTTACCACACAGGTTGTCTGCTCGACTCGTGGTTCCCTAACGCCATGCCACACTTGACCGGCTAACAAGCAGCCTCCTGCACTGACTGGTTGCGGAAAGGTAAGAGAACAGTGCATATTTTCACTTTCTCTCTTCTAATACAGAACTGTCAATTAAAGGGCGACTCCACTCAATTTCGAGATAGTGGGTGATCCAGTATCTCGAAATCGGGTGATCTTGCTCTGAGAAGCATTCAAGAACAATCCTCAATTGTTTGTTTTGCGAAAAATAAAATATTTTTTGTGCAATTTTACTTAAACCATGATCGCAAACCAAAACATTGGCTAAGACGGAGAACATTTTTCCTTTGGCACACCAAACATGCATCCTCCGTGATATACAAAGGGTCACATACGAGGGTGGTTCAATAATTAAGGTGAATTTTTTTGTATTAGGACTTCTAATACAGATAGAAGCTTACTTTTTTGTTATTTTTATTGTTTTAATACTTTTCCACGTGGATTTAATTTCTTATGCAGATTACAAAAAAAAACTGTGAGAATTTTACAAAGTAACAAAGATGGCCGACCAAGAAGCATGCTCCAGGATTGAACAGCGGTCAGTTATCAAGTTTTTGGTTGCTGAACGGTGCAAACCTGTTGAAATTCATAGGAGAATGTCAACTGTGTATGGTGCCACATGTTTCAGCCAAAAAAATGTCTACAAGTGGGCTAAATTGTTTAAAGAAGGATGGAGCAGTGTTGAGGATGAAGACAGGCCTGGGAGGCCTACAGAAGTGAGATCTCCTGAGGTGATCGAATCAGTCAATGACCTTATTCAGTCTGACAGAACGGTGAAAGTGGATGGCATTGCAAGGACTTTGAGCTTATCTGTGGAGACAGCACACAAAATTGTCCATGATGACCTTGGCTACTCGAAGGTCAGCAGCAGGTGGGTGCCAAAGATGCTTACTGCGGAGCACAAACAGAGGAGAATCGAGTTGTCCCAGCAGTGTCTTTCCCGCTATGAGAAAGATGGTGATGAGTTTCTGAAGAAGATGGTCACATCTGACGAGACATGGGTTTGGCACCATGAGCCTGAGTCTAAACGACAGTCCGTGGAGTGGAAGCACGAAGGCTTTCCAGTGAAGAAGAAGTTCAAGTCACAGCGGTCCATTAGGAAGGTGATGCTCACCGTTTTTTGGGATATGCAAGGCCCAATCCCCATTTCATTCCTTGAAAAAGGAAGCACTGTGAACAGTGCCAACTACTGTGAACTGCTGAGGCAGGTCAAGAAAGACATGAAGAACAAACGCAGAGGTCATCAGTCAAAAGGAGTCATCTTGCATCACGACAACGCAAGGCCTCACACAGCAGCCCTAACGGTGCAGACCATCAACGAGCTGGGCTGAGAACTGCTCCCTCATCCCCCTCATAGCCCAGACCTTGCCCCTTCAGACATTCACCTGTTTGGTCCCTTGAAAGCGTTCATGAGAGGCACGACGTTTGAAAGTGACGATGAAGTCAAAAATGTTGTGAGCGACTGGCTGAGATATCAGTCCAAAGATTTTTATGCTGAGGGAATACGGAAGCTTCTGCACAGATGGGAAAAGTGTGTGACAGTGCTGGGAGACTATGTAGAAAAAGAAAAGAAAAAGTAAGCCTCTATCTGTATTAGAAGTCCTTATACAAGAAAATTCACCTTATTTATTGAATCACCCTCGTAATCTATCACGCCGTACATGCGCTGCACAAACATCATCACATAGTCCGCATAACACATCTCATCGCTGCATTCGACGGCTTCCGTGAAAAACAAACGCACCAACTGGTGTTTTACCAAAGGCATATTTTGTAAGGATTCGTAAAGCTGATATTTAGTAAATCGCACATAAATATGCTGCTCAATTTGTATTGGGAGCAGCCAATGACACAACAGAGAGTCTTCGCCTTTGCACTTTTTCCCAGCGATCACACCTAAATATGCATTGAAACACGGGGCGTAGTGCAACAGATCTTACTACAAGCCCACGGTGTCTACGCCAAGCTCAAGATGCCGCGTAGGAACCATGACGATAGGAAACGTGGCGACGTCCGGCAGTAGCTTTGGCTGCACCAATCATCTTTCGTCTTCTCCACCTTGTGTATAAAAGATATCAAACAACACGAAAAGCCTCTCGATAAGCTAAACTTCACACAGTAGCTAATATTTCATTGTACGTCGACGACGAAAAGCGCACCACGTCTTTTTGTCGTCGGCAAGGTCGAGACTCCTTCTCTACGTACCGCGAAAAGCGCCAGGAGTTTCGATCGCGTTTTCTCCTCTCAATCACAACCCTCGGCGAACCATTGTTTCAATTCATTCACAATCCTTGGTGAACGTTATCCAATAGTAATCCTCGCATTGTTGAACGCACAACCACATGCAAAACTAGCGGATTCATGCTTGTCAAACTTTGACAGCAATTTTACGAATCTTTTAGGCGGAATTACATTGCAATATTTGTGATGTGGTTTTTGTAGATGATGACAAAGAGAACTGTATTGCTTTCACACAAATGAAAAACCAGCGGATCTCCCATTTAACTTGAAAAGCCCCAGTTTTTTTACCACACAGGTCGATGGCTCGACTCGTGGTTCGCTGGAACAAGATTGTTCGGGAGCGCCACGTCACGCTCGACCGACTGACAAGCAGCCTCCTGCGCCAACTGGTTGCGGACACCTCGGGGAAGAACACCTCACATTTTCACTCCTGTTTAGCTCTGCATCCAGCCTTCCCCTTCCCAGCAAAGCTTGGGCTGTACAGGTACTTGGTGGCTTAGGAGTAAAGTCAGTTATCTTCACAGAATCAGCTGTGCTTGCACAGCTTCTGTGCAAGCACAGCTGAAAAATGGACAAAAAGGATGACTTCAAACGACATGGCATGATCATGTTTGACGAAATTCAAGTCAGGAAGAGCAAGCCTGTCAACAAGAAGACAATGACTTATGTAGAGTGGACTTCAGACACTGAACACTCTGATGAACTTGCAGATCATGGTTTGGTCTTTCTGTTTTGTCCGTCCGAAGAAAGTTACCTGCAGCCTATTGGAGTTTTTGTTGCTAAAAGTGCAACAAAAGGCACTGTGCTTGCACAGCTTCTGGTGCAAGCCATTTCACTTATAAAAACGCTGGTGCAAAATGTCACGGTTTTGTGAGTGATGAAGCATCCACCAACAGAAGAATGTGGAAAATCTTGGGCATTAGTGGAGGACTCGATGGCTGTTGCAACTTATTCACACACCCAACTACCGTATTTACCCGAAAATAGGTCGACCCCTATTTATTGAGCCCAC